TTACTATATATATATATATATATATATATATATATATATAGGGAGAGATTTCGCAATGCTTATGGGCAAAAATGAATAGTATTTTCGCCCAGAAGCTTGGCTTTTTTCAATTTTTTCTGATGGCGTGGATTAAAGAATGTCACGGATATATCATGTCTGTGGTTGTCCGTCAAGGACAACATGTCCATGTTGGGTTTTTTTCTAGTCAAAATTCACTAAAAATTGTACGGAAACCGCCACGGCTCCTGTCCATCAGTGGTGGTATTTTAGGCGCTATGTCTGTGATGGCGCAAAACACTGTAGCATGAAGGCGCAAGTGGGGATTGCGAGGCCCCAAGCATGGAAGTTCATGTATGTTGATACTCACATAAACAGCAAGTCCACTCGTACCATGGTGGACACTAGAGTCGCACACAACTGCAGACCAAGAGTCGCACACAACTGCATCCAACTAAATATTTTTATTCCTGTGGGGACAACTATGATCGTGGTACCTGCGGTAAAGTAGGCATGCATATCAATGTCTGAGCCCACATTAAACATATGATGAGCCCGAACAAGATATCTAGGAACACTTGTACCGGTCATGGCATAAATCTTGCTTAGATACCCGAAGACTGGTTTTCCCAAAAAAGTTGATACAATATGACTTACGATACCGGATCTAGGCGAAATGGGAATATACACCTCTCGATGACCGTAGAACCGAAGGAGATGCAAGTATAATATAGGGTCCCCCCCTCCAACGGGATCATAAAAGGTTTGATTAGTTAATAACATGGTAATTGCCCCAATTCACCGATATGCTTTTTTGAGGCTTTTCCCTATATATATATATATGTATATATAGATATATAGGATAAAGCTACCAAAGAGTGGTACCATAATGGATAGTAATATATGTGGAATCCCAGCCATCAGATCTTCATTGGGTTGTTCAAAATACATGTCACTATCTAAATTTTAATCATTTTTCTAGAAATCAAATCGAGATGAAATTTTGGGTGTATATACTTGACACCAACATGCACCATATAAAAATATAAAAAATTACTTTCAAGAATTTAAAATGATCAAATCAAGCCTATCATTTTTAAGGGATATGTTGGTTATTCTTTTTCTAAATGGCCTGGAGCACCGTCACTGTACATACTTGCCGTAGTAATTGGCCTTGATCTTAGAGCATCACTGAATTAGAAATCTAGTTGGCTATGGCAGTTGAGTTTACCTCAATCTATACCCAATATATTCAAACTTAGGGATCATAAAGCTCTCACAAATGAAAAATGTCTAAAAAGCTTGTCCTTAGACTCAACATCCGACTTGCACATAATGCACATACTTCATTGCCCTTCTCTGTCGGTGATCCATAATGAAAAATGGTCCCCATAGGTCAAGACTAACCAGAAAGAGGATACTAATCAATCACACCTAGTAAGATTAAGTAAAAAGATTGTGCTGAGAACTCCTCTTGGCCATTCTTAGTTTAGATCCTTCCATCTGCCGTCCTAAAGGGATGTAGATCTCGCCTCGGGTGGTTGTGAGCCCAGTAAGCTCCTTTACCTTAAAGTCGATAAGGTCTCATTTGAAGCTTGGGTCCTAGGGAACATCGTGTGACATCGTACGATGTTCCTGCTCTCACCATCGATAGGAAAGTTCTTTTTCATCAAAGATTAAAGAGAATGCAAAAAGAGAAGTCTAGGACCTATTTGGGGTTTCTGCAAAACAAATTTTTATGGATCTGGAGGTCAATTTGTTTCCTTCATCCGGGTGATATAATTGTAGGGACAATTTTCTGACATGTTCTGGTTATGGTTATTTGCCATGAAATTTGATTGGGCATTACTGCATTGGATTTTGCAGGTTGTTGACCATGTTTGCTTAGGTTCTTTAGGTGTTGAGAATATTCATCTTGAAAAAAAAATAGTTTTACAAGCTTTGGATCTGGCTCTTCGTGTTTGCTATTATGTGATACATATCATCACCATCGTTATAGCCCCTTTCTCAATTAATTGGTATCGGCTGCACAAAACCTGATCTGCCATTCTACTTTATTAAAGACCATACACTCAGTGAGGCTATGAGTCCCTATATCTTTTCGTATTACTTCCAACCACATCTTTTGGGGCATACCCCTTGCCCTTTTCAATCCTTCTGTTTATACTAACGCGCACCTCCTAATAGGTGTTGTACTAGGTCGGCGCCATACATGGCCAGCCCACCTAAGTATACTCTCTCTCATCTTTTCGCATATTGGTGCCACACCTAAACTTTTTCAAATATATTCATTTTGAATTCTATCCTTCTTGTCTTACCACTCATCCATCTTAACATCCTCATCTCCAACACTCATTTTATGGGTATATTGTTTTTTGTTCACTTAACATTCCGTCCCATGGAGCATAGCTGGTCTCACAGCTGTCCTATAGAACTTGTCCTTCAGCTTTATTGGTATGTGGCAATCACATGAAATTCCAGTTGCACATCTCCATTTTGCTCACCCTGCTCTAATTTTGTGTGTGACATCTTCCTCAATCTCTCAATTTTCTTGGATTATCGACTCAAGATATTGAAAGTGTGGTCGTTTTTGTACTTCTTGATTGTCAGTCTTAACGACTTCCTCGTCTCTACTCCTATTATTACTAAACTTGCATTCCATATATTGTCTCTGTCAGGCTAATTTTAAAACCATTGGATTCTAGAACATCCTTCCAAAGTTCTAACTTTGTGTTGACGTAGTTTCGGGTCTCATTGATTAACACTATGTCATCTATGAACAACATGCACCACGATACCTCATCATGTAGGCTCCTAGTTAAGTCATTCATAACTAAGACAAAGAGGTACGGGCTCAATGCTGACCCTTAATATAGATCTATCGTCACGGAAAACTTACTCGTATCTCCACTAGTTCATAATCTAATTAGCGCTCCATCGTACTAGGTGATACACATGCATTTATTATTTTGTTTAATGAAATTATATGCATAAAAGTTAGAAGAAAATAGATGGTGGTTCAGTTCTTAGTGGTAGCATTAATGTGCTTTTATTTCATGAGTATCTTGCACCATGTATGGGTAGACTGAGCGTATTTATATGAGAATTTAACATGTGCATTCCGCACAGACAATTGGTTATGTGCCAATATAGTTTGTGATCAGAAGTGAATAATTGAGGGGCTTTAATGTGGCATTGTTGAAATCTGTTTCATTCACATGCAAGTAGGATCAGTGTTTCAAAAAGCGCTAGGCGACACCTAGGCGGTTAGGAGGGCCAGGCCGCCCAGGGCCTAGGCGGGCACCCAGAACTTGGGCGGCCGAGTTTGGTTTTTCTCTCTCTAAAATAGACTCTAATGGGTTTTAGGTTCATTTGAAACCTTAAACCCACAATTTTCACCTTTAGTATTAAAAAATATGACCTAAAATGACCCAAAAATGGCCTCAACGAGAGGTACTTTCGCCCCTGGGCGGGTGCAGGCCCTAGGCGGCTGCCTAGGCGGTTTTAGGCGGGCGCTCGAGGATACCCGCCTAATTTGATTGCCTAGGCCTAGGCGATGCGCCGAAGCCTTTTGGACCGTCTAGGCGGCCGCCCAAGTGCTGGGCGGTCCACTTTTTGAAACACTGAGTAGGATCCAAATGCTGCTACTATTGATCTATTTCCATGGAAATAGTTGGACGTAGTTCCTTTTTGTTACAACAATACATTTATTTCATGATTTCCTTATTTGTTGAGATTGTGAACAAAAGAAGAATGCGTGATTTATGTCAATGCATTTATGTCAATATATGTAGGTATTCAGCCCCAATAAAGGCTATTGTAGAGTACGCCAAAACCAAAGGAGGTGAAATTGTGCATTCCACGGTATGAAAAATAACATCTTTTTTGATGTTATTTATTATGGTTACATGGATGTTTTGACGTGCTGATTGATCTCTTTTATGATCATGTTTTACAAGAGAAATGGTTTTGACCTAATCTCTATATTTGTAGATAACTATTGGATACTTGCCAATAATGCTACGCAGTTGCCAGTGCGTTTTGAGTGGAAAAGATGAAGATGAACTTGCGGAACTAGGTTTGTAAGGCTTTTCATGTTTTTTTTTTTGATGCCCATACATTTTCATTTCCTTTACTTTGTGTTGTTATATTGTGTTCAGAATGCGTATTGTTATATGCTCTTACAGGTGAATGCCCCCTGGACCCTGGTGGTTATTTCATTGTTAAAGGATCAGAGAAGGTTATATTTAAACTCAATTATTTTATGGTCGTAGGGACTACTTTGTTTTGAGTGGCAGAAAGTACATGCTATGTCCTTGGAAGTTTTATTGCTTTTTTTGTTACTGCATTGGTCATTATTTTGTGGACGTCATTTGTGTCTTCCCTTTCTTGTTGCCTCATCTGCTAGCATGTATTGTGTGTCAATGTATATTGATAGTTGTCACGAAACACACTTGTGCCTTATCTACTTTTGCTACATTTGATGTTTGTGCATTGGCAAATGAGCTATGATGTTTGAATTGCTACTGTAAAAACTGCCTGATAATTTTCTAGTATTGTACGCAATGGAGAGAACTTTAATATTGATCTAATACTTCTTGGGATTTCTTTATCATGACGTAGGAACTCTTAAGATGCTTGATACATATTGGTAGAGCAGCTGGAAACTAAGATACTTGCATAGTATCAAATATCATTTGACACTTAAATGGGAATGCCAATCCCTACAACAACACCTAGTGCTCCTAGGAATTAGCATACTATATTTTATAACGTTATATATATAAATGTAAAACACAAAATGGATTAATTGTTAAAGATTACAGGGTTCTCTTGTTTCCTTATTGTTTATTGTTCGAGGGATATTTAGGCTCCTTTCCATGTCAGGGGTATTCTAGTCAAATTTTTTCTTTATATTCGTTAATAAGATCATTATCTGTTCAGTTCTAGTATTGTAGAGAGACTTTTTTTCTTTTCCAAGTTAACATGGTATCAATGAAACCTAGGGTTTCCTCTTTTTCTCAGTTTGTGTGCCAATAACTTGGAGTGGTTAATTGAATATCCACATCATAATTCTTATTTGTTAGGTCGAGTTCTCCTGCCGCGATTGAGAGTAAGTTTACCTTTCCTTCTTCCTAATTTGATTTCTGGGGTTAGAGTTTGGAGTTCCTCACACTTTTACCTCGGTCTTCAGATCTGTATCTCGTGCAAATAAAAATCATTCGCCTTTGTTAAATAATTGTTAATTCTTATATTCTTGCTTTATCTTGGGGTTTAGATCTAGGATTTCTTATTTTTACTCGATTTAAGGTTAATGACCCATTTTGTTACCTAACAATGTCAGTGGCCTGTGAATAAGGTTGTTTACCTAAATTTATTCATGTTAATATTGCATACTTTGGCCATATTTTGGGATTTAAAATCGGGGTTTCTGGAAATTTGGGGATCCTAAATTGATCTAAGGTTTCATTCTGGAAATTTACCCATTTCGCATTTACAATGAATAGCTCTCATTCTGTTATTGTTCATTTTGGCCATTTGGCCTATTTTGTTTTTGGGTCTAGGTTTTTCGTCATCATATTAAAATTCTGATGTTCAATATTTTTTGACTTGGGCTGAAATTTTCAAATTCAACCCTCAAAGGGTGTGCCCAAATTGCTCAATTGGGTTTACATACCTGCCGAGTGCATATTATTCTTGGCTGTGATGGCAGCCTCACCTCCCCCCGTTATCAAACTTGATGGCTCAAACTACACATCATGGTCATTTTTTATGACAAATTTCCTCTCTGGAAAAGTACGGGGCTAAGATGGGTCAGTCAAGAAACCCCTATTTGAACCCGAATGAGTGGTGTTTTACGAAGCCAAGATGTTGACTTGGATTGCAAACTTGGTGGATCCGCATTATAGTCCAACTCACCAAATATCACACAGCTTTTTGTTACTTGCGTTAACTCTGTGCAGTCTAACTCTACTCAGGCGTATCATATTGAAGGTGTGATTCGGGCAGCTAGAATGGGGGATTGTTCTGTCCAGGAGTTCTATTCACTCTTGTCCCTTGGATCTTTGATTCAGGGTCTTTCTATCATATGACCTCAGATTACTCTCTTTTGTTACATTGTTCCACACCCTCATCACCTGTAGATACTGTCGATTGATCCCCTTTGGCCATTGCCTGTGTTGGGTCTGTTGATTCTAGCTCCTATTCTTCTAGTTGATGTATTATTTTGAATGTCTTGCACGTCCCTCGTCGTCATGTTAATCTGCTCTCTATCAGTTAGCTTGCTAACATTGGTTATGATAGCACTTATTTTCATCCAGCTGTGTTGTGCAGGATCAATACTCAGGGCAAATAAATGGGGTGGGCCGTACGATTGTTCACCTCTATTATCTTGAGCATGTTTACATTCCCAACCATGGTATTGTGATTTCGCCGAGTAGCTCCAAACTTTATACAACTTGGGGCAGATAAATTTTTTTTTTTAAATAAAAAAATGTACAAAATAGGTAAATGTTGTATAATTTTTCTTACATGATTTGGATGTTTTTAACCATAATCCCTATTTTATATTTTCCTTTTTTTGGATTTTTGTAAAATCTCCCATCTATAAAATCAGCTTTTTTTAGATCCATTTTATATACTTTTTAAAGCTTTTCTGGACTTTTTAAGGATGCTTTTACGTTTATTGTACTTCTACAACCTTCATTTTATTTTTTGATATTTTTATTTTTAAACTTTTCTAGGGCTGTTTTGCCTCCTACATGACTTCGGTGAGTCCCTTCGGACCCCGAGTTTTTGTTCTCAATATACTATCTTCATCAGCAGATTGTCAGCTCTTAGTTTTCCTTGTTCTACATCTCCATTTTCTTTATGGCATTGTAGACTAGGTCATATATCTAATCTAGACGCCATTATATGTCTTTTATTTCGATTTACTACAATTTTAAAGTGATAAATAATGAAGTTCTATAAGGTTTTTAGTTTTCTAATCCTAATTAGTCTAGAAGTCGATATGGTCAAATATTACGGGGATAGAGTTCCTATATACCTCCCTAAATCATAAATGCTGATGTGTTGGATGGATGGCACAAATTTATTTTCTCTTACCTCACAGATTTCCAAGATTCTTATTAGTCAAGGTAAATCATTAGGCATACCTAAAGGTCTTGAGGTATATAAGGAGGTGAACTCCCTCTCATTACATACAATTGGAAACCTCTCTCCCCCAAATTCCCTCTCCTCCAACCCCAAATTCTCTCTCTCTCTCTCTCTCTCTCTCTCTCTCTCTCTCTCTCTCCCTCCCCCCTCCCCTCAAGGTGGCACGCCATCCTATAAGAAAATAAAAATGGGGGATTACACACCTGCCGCTAATTAGGATTTGAAGAGAGGGCAAGCTTAGCCCAAGAAAAGGGGGGTGCCTTGAGGCTTGCCCTAATTTTTTACTAAGGGGTTCTAACAAAACCCTAATAGTTTCTTATGCTCTCTGAAACCCTGGTTTTAAGAGGTATTTCCCAAGGAAGCATCTCGGCTCTAAAAATTCAGCAAAATCAATAGGATCGAAGTGCGTCATCAGTTAGAAAATCGGGTATGGGATATATTATGTCCTATGGGGGTGACCCTAGGTATAATCCAGTATGTTTTCGAGGCTATTTAGTTTTATTTTTCAGTCATATTTGCATGTTTGTTCTGAATTTCCAGGAGCATTGTTTGTACCTAATTTGTTAATGGAAGTTTGGTTTCTATTCTTAGATTGTGTTTTATTTATTTTGAAAGTAAAAGGAAATGTCCTAAGTTATATTTAGGGCTTTGACTTTCATGTACAGCAGTGTATTATGGCACTTGTAAGTGGAATTCATACTCAATAATAAAGAAAAGAAGAAACCATCCTTGCCATTATGGAAACTAAATGACCGGCCCCCACCCTGCAACTCATTCGCCAGGTTTGGGGCCGCTGCCCATGCCAGTGGCTATCTATTGCTGCGGCTGGAGCTTCTGGTGGAACTCAGCAGAACATGCTCTAGTTTTGTCTCACTTAGGGGAGTTTTCGATAAATGCAATACTCACAAGGATCTCGGATGGGCTCCCCTGGAAATTCACAGCAGTTTACAGTCCCAACACAGTTTCCCTTAGAGCTACGCTTTGGGAAGAACTGGATCTTGTGGCCAGCCTCCCCCACCTAGTGTGGTGCCTCGGGGGAGATTTCGATTACTAGATGGTCCCATTAGAGTAACTACAACTCTAATATTTCATAGGGAATGCTGGATTTTTTCCAACTTCATCTCTCGAAATGAACTCTTGGACCAGGGCAACCTCTTCACGTGGTCTGACCACTCCTCTCAGCCCACCCTATCCAAACTTAACAAGTTCCTAACCTCTCTGCTATGGGACGACGTTTTCCTAGTTTCCCATGCAATGGCTCCTCCCAAACCTACTTCTGATCACTACCGCATTCTGCTCCATACCCAATCAACTCACAGGGGGTCCAAACCCTTCCAGTTTGAGCTTGCTTGGTTGGAAGGGTCTTCTTTGTCCTCTCTCATCCTCCAGTGTTGGGACTTCTCCTCACCTTTAGAACCCAACTTAAACTAGACTACTTCTCAACCCTTAAAAAAGAAGAGATTTTCTGGTACTAGAGTTCTAGGGTCAAATGGCTACGCTATGGTGACCACAATACTGCCTATTTCCACGGAATAGCTAGCTGTCAGCATCGGTAGAACTCCATCTCCACTCTTAAGGTTGGAATTACATTATTGGATCAACCATCCGAGAAAGAAGCAACTATCCTCTCATGTTATCGCTTCCTCTATTCGGCTCCTACGTAGGACGGGGGACCTTCTATTCCATCGTCCTAATCTTTGGTCCAAGTGGATGGAGGGGCCCTTCTCAGAGCAGGAAATTCTGGACGCCATAGCGGACTTGGGCAAAGATAAAGCCTCAAGCTAGGATGGCTTTCCTTTAGCCCCCTTCAAGATCTTCTGGGCTACATTTAAGCCCAATTTCCTCAAGTTCTTTGATGAATTCTTCCATCGGGGCATCCTTCACAATGCGATGAATGCGACTTTCATCGCCTTGGTACTCAAAGTTGAAGGGGCTGAGGAACTCAAGGATTTCAGCCCATTAGTTTGGTCAACGCAACTTATAAAATTTTATCCAAAGTGCTGGCCACTGGGCTTTAAGAGATGCTACCCTTTGTGATTTCCTTAAATCAGAGTGCTGTCATAAAAGAAAGGCGGATCTTTGATGGGGTCCTTGTGGTTCACAAGATACACTCTAGACATCTTGCCAAAACACCTGGTCTTTTCTTTAAGATTGATTGGGAAAAACCTATGATCACGTCGACTAGTTAATCTTGGACGAGACAATGGCGAGGATGGGGTTTGGGGACTGCTGGAGAAAGTGGATGAGGGGCTGTTACGCCCATCCCTACTTCTTTGTGCTGATCAGTGGTACACCAAGAGCTTTCTTCCCCTCATCCAGGGGCCCAAGGCAAGGAGATCTTCTCTCCTCTTTCCTCTTTGCAACCTCAGCCGAGGTATTCAGCCAATCTATCTCTCGAATGTATCAGTTCGACCTTTTTGGGTTCAAAAGCAGTCTGAGTGGCGTTACTGTAACTCATTTACAATATGCCAATGATAATTTGGTGTCATTGGTGCAGTACCTCATGAAATCGAGTACTGGCGCCTCTTCCTTAAGTATTTCGATTACGCCAAATATCTTTACTAAAGCTGTTGGACAATATAGATTACAAAATATCACAAGCAAGCTGGGTATGATGCAATCTATGCACTAGCTTGATGGGGAGTGCTGGAAATAATTAATTATTTTTTTGCTTTGGGGTATTAATGTCTTTTCTTGTTGTATGGGGAAAATATCCAAGCAAGCTGGGTATGATTGAATCTATGCACTACCATGCTACAAATGATAGTATGGGGAAACAATTCCCATTCTTGCATTCTATCCTTTGTGCTGAAACCGAATTACTTTTTTAAGTGCAATGTTCCAATTAATCTTAAAATTCCTTATATGTTAATTTGGTTTGAGGCTGTTGATGCAGTTGCAGATCATGCGGAATAGTTAAGTGACATAATGTCTAGTTTTCTTTGCCTCTAGGGTACATTGTATGATACTAATTGAGGTCCTCCACCGATTTAGGCAACCCCGGGACACCTTGTACCAGTTTACAAAAAAATTCCAATTCTGTAAGTAGAGGGACAATGCAACATTCGGTAGTCCATCATTTTTTCTACTTTGCAGCACAATAATATGTCTAGGGTAAAAGGCATAGCTCAACTGGAATTGTAGTTGCAACCTTGAGGTTGTCAGCTAATATCTAGGATACCTCACTTCTTCCTCCAACTTCCAAACAATCCTCCCACCAAAAAAAAAAAGGAAAAAAAAAATGAAGGAAAAATTCATGAAGGTTTATAGATTTTTCCATTTTCCCACTTTATTTTGTGGATGTAGTTCATTGTAAGGAACATGTCATCAGTAGCGAACCAGTCAAAGAACTTGAATTTTAGACAAGCCTGACATTGCATTCCATGCATTTGGACCTCAAATGTCTTTAATGATAATTTTCTTCAATATGGCATTTTCATGAGTGATGATCAAATTATACTCTTGGAACATATATGTAAAGTTTTCTACATGTATATCGATTGTTACATTATGCACATAGACTGTTACAAAGATTTAATGAAATACTGCTATATGTAAAAAAAGTAGTAGTTGTCACATACATAAAAAAGTAGTAGTTGTCATATACATAAATTGTACTTTTCTCCCTTGTCAGGTTCAATGTCTTACCAATACTGTACAGTTAAAACTTCATTTTTTTGTTTACTTCTTTACAGTTTGGTCCAAATTTCTCTTAACTTCCACATTGTGCTTTTCTGTCCTTTGTGTTTCCTTAATGTCAAGCTCATGATTCTTCAGGTGATTTTGATTCAGGAACAACTTTCAAAAAATCGTATTATAATCGAAACAGATGGTAAGGGAAGGTATGGAAATTGGAATAAGCTTTAGCCAATTATCATTGCAAATGTTGTTTGTATGTGTTGAAAATGATGCTACATTACCATTGTTCCGCTTTTTATTTGGTTTCTAAAATGGGCCCTCTCCTGTATTTTACTATACTTCATCTCTGAATTGAATTATCATGCACGTTTTTGTCATTGTTAGTTTGGAATGATGATATAGGAGCACTTCTCTTGGTATGTCTATTTAAAGGGTCATGTTGCACCCAACTCTTTCTTGCATTTCCTACTTGTGGTTTTTTTGATGAGAGATAGTATTTACATTAAAAAAACACTGCATCTTGGGAAAAGAACATCAAATACGTAATCACTTTTTTGGACTTCCTTTGTGCAAAGAAATTTCCCTTTTCTACCCCGCAGGTCAGCCATGCAATATGTGAAATGGTTGCCTTATTACAATTAATTATGACTAAGTCTCATGCATCCTTGTATGCTCGAAGTGATCCTAAATGTACTAACCACAAGGGCTGGCAATGGACCTGATGGCCTAGTTGTCCCGGCCTAAAAAAAGTAGGCCGGGCTAGGGCCAATACTGGCCTGGTTTAGCCTGGCCCAGCCCTCTTTTTTTATTTTTTATTTTTTTATTTGTTTTTCATTTGCTTTTGGCCGTGCCCGCCCCTATGGGGAGAAGGGCCGGGCCAGGGCCAAAGTTGTCCAGGCCTGGGCCTGACCCGTTGACACCCTTACTAATCACCATAAGAAAAGGTTGAAACAATTTTAACTAACTCCAAGTGTGGGGCATTCATTGAGTCCAACTAGTAGAGCATTTCGATATATTCAATGCTGATCCTCTCGCCGAAGGTCCCAATAATACATAAACTAGTATTTTTGTTGTCATTGAATATCCTCAATTTGCATGGCCTTATATGTCCCAGCAAAAACTGGGTCGCGAAAATGAATTTAAAATTTCATGAATGTGGTATGTGGCAGATTTTTCACTTGACTGCCTAAATGATCTTTGTATATGCTCTCATACAGTGGCCTACCTCCTCTCTACAATGACAACTCTCATAATAGGTACCCAAATCTGTTTTCAGTAAACCTTCTTATCTTTAAAAACTTTGAAACATCCGCCCTTGTATGCTCCCATGCCATCTCACCTTGTCATCTAGATGTGTTTTCATATTGAGCACCTGTTAATCCATTACTCGGGCTTGATTTCAATTATTCTTTTGTGCTTGTTGATATATGAGAAATGTATATAGAGGCATTGCTCAGCATTGTTAGACGTTGACAAGTACTGGAGGTTTGTAGGCTGTGGAGTGCCCATTGAAAATAGTATCGTAGAGAATCTTTTCGACATTTGGCTCATAATAGATTATTTTCTATTCAATAGATCTATGTATGGCAATTTACTGGGAAGACTTATTGAACCTTTGCCGAGGGTTACCCGATTAGGACTTAGCGCACCCTAAACCCATTTACTGAACTGATGGTGAACTCTGATCCTTTGGCCTTGCTGAATCCTTTGAACTGAAAGCATCTCAGGCAATAATGCCTTTCTGTAGGGTTGCTTCTCGATTACAAGGGGGATTCTCTTTATGCACACGTACATATGCCTTTCTGTAGGGTTTTACCATAATGCAGCTGTCATATGTACATGCTCTCTGGAGGTTTGTTGAGTATTTGGCTGTTGCTTTCACATGCCCACAACCGCACGCAAAAATCTCAGTGGCTTTCTGTCTTAAAATCATCATCTCAGGGCATTTCTCTGACCTCAATAAGGGATGACCATCCAGAAAGCCCTCCACGATAGTATCTATTGCCTAGGGAAAGGGTTTTGGATATGACCTGGGCCATAGACTGCCCAACCCTAGGTCAATCAACCAACATACATTCCTATTGAAGTGTGCAATTCACCATATTTATTTATTTTTATAGTCTCTTATGTGCTTTAAAGGCCACAAACCCCCACAAAATCAATATGGTGTTGGTGTTCCCTAGTGGATGTAGTCCATTAGGAAGAACATCTGGGGAGATGTCTTCAACTCCTCAAGAAGGAGCGTGAACTCACTTGGCACACTTGTGGGCTCAACTTCCTCTTTAGCCACCAAAGCGTACATAACTCCACTCTCATTACTTTCTTCGTAAAGCATAGACAAGGTAAGAAAGCTATAGCCTTCATCTTGACCAAATTTCGGAGCAATTTCCTTCTTGCTAGGCAGGAATATCACTTCCACATTTCCCATTCAGAAAATGTAAGTGTCTTTGCAACCATCATGTATTATACACTTGTCAAATTGCCATTGTCGATCGAGATGTATGTGAGATATGTCCATAGGAACAATGTCACACCATACTTTATCTTTATATCTCTTTCTCATAGGAAAAGAAACAAGGCAATGGGAGAGACTTTTACCTCGTTGCCTTTCTTGTAACATGCAATGCGATACAACTGGGGATTCAGCTTGGTTTTCAGTTTGAGCTTGTCCACCACTTGTTATGAGGCTGTTCTCACAACTACCTCCATCAATTACAATGGTGCATACCCTGCACTCGCTTTGCATCAGGTCTTAAAATTGCTTGACTGAGGCCAATCTTCATCCAGCTAGCCTTGGGAGTGTTAGAACTTGGCTGATAACCCAGCTTTCGCGCACCTCGGGCTCAATCTCTTTATGTATTAGCTCAGGATCTTCATCATAGATGGGTCCAGAACTGTCCCCAATAATAGCCCACCATTCTCGTGAGAGTGACTCGTGGCTCAAATTACCTCTGGGGAAACTCACTTGAAAGGCGACCTGTTTGGCCACCCTTGAAGCAAGGTATAGGCTTATGGTGCGGTGTAGAGGCCTGCTCAAGAGGGGCTGAACAACCATGGACAGAAGTGGGGTTCTTAGTAAACTCCTTTGCTCCCTTGGTGTTTGAGCCACCACTTTTGGATGTTTTGCTCTTAAAAGAGCAATCAGTATTAGTGAATCGTCTAATTGACAAGCGTCATCGATCTTCCACCGAGAATGCATGTCCACCTCATCTCTAATGGCTTGTCGCAAGCTACCGAGATACCTAGAAACGGCCTGCTCCTCTGTTTCTTGTATGTCATTTCTTACCATGAGCTTGTAAAACAATTCAGTGTATTTTGCCACTCTCTTAGTCTCTTGCCAGATGCTATTGAATTGGGGGAAGCGAACCAGCGAGCAATCAATTGGCAGGAACTTCTTCTTCATCTTAGACCTCATCTTTTCCCAAGAGGCTACCATAGGCTTCCCTTTTCAAAGGTGAGGCTCCTGGATTTGATCTTACCATGCCAAGGCACAGCCATGTAATCTTTAGTGGCTACAAGCTTTCATGAAACCCCTTATGGGTTTTTTTATAGTCGATGAACTTCTAAACGGCGCTGGGCCAATCTTGAAAAATTTCGCGATGTAGCTGTCCATGGAACTCTAGTATGTCAACTTTGATAGAATCTCTATCAAATCTAAGGCTGTCCTTCCTCACCTCCTTACGCCAACGCCGTTTTGTGAAGGGGTTTACCTCAGAGTTGTCATTAGAGGAGTCTCATCTAGACTCAAGCGCATTTAAACACTCAAGTTGTGCAGTCAAATGAAGAACTTAGGTGATGCAACTGCATCAACTCGTTATTCCTTGCATTGTTCCCCAAAAAGTTGCTGAGTCCTCTACCTCTAGCCCCTCTTTGCGCCATGAAGAAGACTATTTCTAAGAAACAAGGGGCCTTCTAATTGGTACCAGTGAGCTTTGATACCAAATAAATACGGGAAAACGGTCCAACAAACTAGAGAGAGAGAACAAGCAAAATATGAGAAAAAGAATTCAGTCAGCTGGAAGTTTCTCTTGTATATAATAGCTCTAGATATTGTGATGCGGACATGACAATATATCCAAAGGAGAGAAACCGGCTATCGGCTGTTACGCCTTCATTATGTTGAATTCAATCAGCTGGAAGTTTAAAAATATAATATAATTGTGTGATTCAGTGCTTAAGTAGGACAGCCTCAACAACTAGTAGCAAACATATGGGGCTCAATCACTTCATAAAGAAATTGGGGTCTAAATTCTTGAGCCCATAATATTGCTTTGTGACAAATAGTGTGTGATTCTTCTTGAATGCAACTCTAACTCCCGAGTGATATGGTTCTTTATCCTTAGAGATGTCCAATCTAGATTCCATTAGATTGGAACACAAGGATCACCATATTTTGCATCCTGATTCCCCGTGATCCTCCAAAACGAATGCTACATCTTTCTTTGCTTATTTAGTAACCAATAGTAAAAAGAGAATTATTTCATCTATATGTAGTTTTGGGTTATATTTTCCTGCATATAGCTATTCAATGAAATAATTGCATCAGTGCAGCTTGGGTTTTGTACTTGAAGCTATGAAGGTCATAATTTATTTAGTGAGTTGATTTATCTACTATATTAATATGGTGAACTATGTTGAAGTGGAGTGAGGTTGAGAATTATACTCTCCCTCTACAACCCAAGAAGGATTCACTGGTCTGGATTCATTCTGCTGATGTATTATTCTCTATTAAAAGGGCATGGGATTTTATTAGGCATCAAGGCTCTTCACAATCTATTTTTCGTGCGCTTGGGTCCTCCAAATGCCACCCAAGGGTGAAATGGTTCTCATGGCTGGCCTTACATGATCGATTGCCCACTTCATTCTTATTACAGCAGCGAGGTATGCAACTGGACTGTTTATGTCCCTTTTGTAGTAACCATGATGATAGTCTTTTTCATCTATTATTACAATGTGCCTTTGCACTGGGTGTATGGAGATCACTCGCTTGGAGATGTGGAAAACGGTTTGTCCTCGGTACCTCTGTCCCTGATTTACTTAGGTAGTGGTTACTTTTCAGGTTTAAATCACATGGACTTTGTAATGTTTGGTCTTCTATCTTTTTTATTGCCATTTGGTTTCTATGGGCAGAACGCAAGTGAAGAGCCTTTGAGTCAAGACCCACCAGGAGAGAGCTTATTCTGAAAAGGATTACCCTACATGTTCAGGCACTAGCAGAAGTTAAGAAGTGGTCTTTTTATTTATCAGAAAAAGCCATCATTGGTAACCTTCAAATAACTTGGCAACAGTAGAGGGCTGAATCCTTTACTTTGGTAGCGTAGTCTTTCCTGAGACTCATAATTATAAACTCAATATTGATGGTGCTTCCTTGAGAAATCCAGTTCTAGCAGGTAGTGGTGGAGTTATCAGGAACAGTGAGGGTGGTTTTATTGCTGCTTTCGCAAAGCATTTTGGTTTTGCTTCTAATAACCGTGCAGAATTCTTGGCATTTGAGGAAGGAGTTCAATTGGAAATTCAAAGCAATTGCTTTCTAATTCAGATTGAAAGTGATTCTGCCTTGCTTGTAAATTTTATTCAGAATCGATGCAATGCTCCATGGAGGCTAAAGACCATTGGAGACTATTTTTTTGCACCAAACTGTCTTCTCATTGGTGGTCCAGTACACATGTTTTTCGTGAGGCTAACATGGTTGCTGATGCCCTAGCTAAGAGGGCAGTTGCTGGCCCTGGTGGTACTGACTGGCGCCATAGACCACCAGATTTCTTTCCTCTCTTTTATTGCATGATCTGGCTTAATTGCCCTACCATAGGGTTGTATCTTAATTGTTTTTATCTGCTATTTTATTAATGAAAAAAAGGGTAGGGGGCCTTCTCTCCCACTGACTTACCCTAAAAAAAGAAGGCTCTAAAAGGGCAAGTGGAAGACCTAGAAGCACTTGAATGGAAGTAGTAAGAAGAGATATAGTGCCTTATGGTTTGACTGAGTGTATGTCCCTTGATAGAGCGGAGTGGTAGAACATGATTCGTGTAGCCAGCTCCAAATAGTTGGGATAAAGCTTTGATGATGATGATTAATATAATGAATTATGGAGTAATTCAAAGTTAATTTATTTGACAGAATTACATATTGACGGTGGGAACTACCTGTAAAGCGAGGGAACCCTATTTAAACTTAGACAAGTATCTTGTTTTTGAATTAAATGGAGCTCGCTCCTTATCCCTTACTCCATACTATGTTGGATCATTTTTCCTATTGCACTCTCAAGTTAAGAAACTCAACAAGTTGTGCTTGTGTACTTTGTTTTCAAATCAGAGGATCTTGCTCCCCAATATTATCATAATTGATCCTATCTTATAAAGGAACTCGATCCCCAACACATGGACTGTTTTCCTTACGCTTGAGGCTGTATGGACATCGGTCCCAAACATAAGGATGTTTGGGGTAATTTCGATCCATCGATCCCACCCTGGATCTCGGAACCATTTGTAATCCCATCCACACCAACTATTCTCATTATGTACTGAATGACCTGGCTAATATTAAGGATGATGTGTGAAAAATTACCATAATGCCTTCCTAACACCATGGCTGTCCATTCCCAGGTGTAGAATAGAGCATGATACAAGGCATTCTAGTTGGATGCCACCCATAGATGGTTAGAATTTAATGTACATGGGATATATATTGTTTACATTTTTTGGATTGCTGCTTTAGTAGTGCGTCTCAATCAAATGAAGCCATAACGAATGCATTTTTACAAAGGTTCTCATGGGCATCATCTCACTATCAACCCAAGGTATTTCACTATCAACTTGAGGTGAAAGTTGACTGTATATGCAGGGAAGCTAATGAGATGGTGGATCTCTTGAAAAGGGAAGTGGTCTCCAAAATGCATATTGTAGTTACAAAGTTTAATGTAATGGTTCCAACTATTATGGAACTCAATTTTGTATAGGAATCTATACACTTACATCCTTTTTTTGAGTAATAAAATCTAGTTAACAATTAAAAAAAAAAGAAAATAATTAATAATATAGTACTTACTAAGATGATGATTTTGGTAGAATTATTATCATGTAGTGTGTGTGTGTGTCTTTACCAATCCTTTTCCTTTTTTCGAGTCTTGAACTTTCTTGTATTGTTAGGATATTTGGATTCCCAATTGATCCCTTTTGAGTTACACATTCAATCTCCTAACCTTTGAATGTTAGAGGTATCACTAATACTTTTTCTAGAGTTAACTCTTTATATGTTCTCGTTTCCTAAATTGATATTTTTAATGTTTCTACAATATCATATCCTCTGGTTTGAACATGTTGGACGTGATATCCACGCCCATTTCTTTTCTGGACTTTGGGAAACGAAAAGTCATCTCTCCTCTTCCTCTACAACCTTATTTCTATCTTCAAAGGAGAGTAGTCAAGTTTGATGCTGATGCATTAGCCATAAAGGATGTATTGTGCGATTCTATTCCAATTCTTGCTGTCCTATAGGTTTTGAGATGCTGCCTTGGCATCTCAGGTGGCCACGCTTGTGTTCCTCTCATCATTATCATCATCATCATCATCCTCGCCTTTTCTCAATTAATTGAGGTCGGCTATATGAATCCTGGTTTGCCATTCTGCTCTATTATGAGCCATACCCTCAGTGAGGCTAAAAGTCCTCACATCTTTTCGGACTACTTCCAACCATGTCCTTTTGGGCCTACCATTTACCCCTCGCAATCCTTCCACTTGAACGCTTATTGCTCCTCTATGGCTTGGTTTTTAATAAATTAATAGACTTAGTGAAGACTAACTTGCAAATATATTTGCCAAGGCAATCTGATGAATTTCATAGGCTACAAGTGTGTGTGTGTGTGTGTTTGTGTGAAAGAGAGAGAGAGATGGTTTATATGGTGTGTGTCAAGTAATCTTTTGAATATGCATTTTTATGTTATAAATTATAGGAAAATGTTTTTGCTTTGTTCATTGTCAATTTAATGCAGGCACTATGAAGTTTTTGATTTGATAAAAGACACGACATGTTGATGTTTTGGTTGTTTTCTCTCTTGGTCCAGTGTTGTAGCTACAGTTACTTCTGTTACAAACGAGACAAAAAGTAAGACAAATATCGTCTTGAAAAAAGAGAAGATTTATTTAAAGCTCAATGTGTTTATCGAAGATGTACGTATATGCATGCCATGGAATTTTCTTAAGAGTCCTGCATGTTATTCATCATGATTTATTCAATCTTCATGTTCTCTTATAGGTTCCGATAATAGTGATCTTGAAGGCAATGGGGATGGAAAGTGACCAAGAGATTGTACAAATGCTTGGCAGGGATCCAAGATTCGGAAGCATTCTTTTACCGTCCTTGCAGGTACCTTGCAGATTTCAGTCTCTCAAAATTTTTAGTAAACATGTTCTTTGATAAAGAAATCCTGTTGAAAGAGATTCGTTTGGAATGGGAGCCTAATAGCTGAATTAGTAGCAAATGGATGTGAGATTCATTGACATCGATGAGTTTATTATGTCTTTGTAAGAAGTGGATCCTAATTGGATATGTTTTTTTCACATGGGAAACTGTCTCAACTTATTTCTCTCAAGGACTCTCATTGTAATCAAAACCTGTTTGACTCATGCATATGATATCCTGTCATGCACTTTTGACACTTAAAAATACAGCTCAAGAAGCATGTTTGGTGTGAGATTCTATAGAGGATATCTCAAGAAGCATATTTGGAGTGAGATTCTGTTGTTATGATCGCATGTTTTATGTCGAAGTGTGCCATTAAAACATCATCGCCTACCTCTAAGTTCTTACTTGGACTATTAGGTGCTTATGGTGATTTGTCATGTAATGATTACTTTGAGTTGTGTGCCCTTGTACTTAAATTATGTATGAACATTATCAAATGTTATAAGTTAGATTACAAGTGAAAATTTTTGTTACTGTTATATCTCCACCATAGTCGTTAGCTATTCTTGGGCCACTTCTCTTTTCCCTTGTGTTCTATATGTTAATTAGAATGTGAGATTTTCTTTAATTTGTACATTTATTGGAAAGCAGTTATAGACACTTATAGCAAATAAAACTGTCTTTGTTGGTGATTTTTATTTTTGCTTCAACTCAGGAGTGTGCATCTTTGGGAATATACATGGAGCATCAAGCCTTGGCTTTTCTTGAATTGAAGGTACCTATTTTCTGCTCTCTACTGTATTATGGTGCCTATCTTTGGTTGTGATGTAAATGAAGAACCATAGAAAACACATTATTGTGTGTACATCTTATAAATTCACGTTCTGGTTTCCAACGTTCGAACGCCTATGTGGTTGCCTTGGCACAACTTGGCAGAGGGCAGAAAAGGGCCTCAGCCAAGGGCAAAAAAGTACTCTCCCTCATAGTTGTTGGGATCGGGAGCGGGACTGATACTGGGATCGGGATCGGGAGCGAGGGATCGTGAAGTGCTAGATGATCCCTATGATTGGGAACGCCAGCTGTACAATGCACATGTTAGGGATCGAGATGCCAACCTTTTTGGGATGTTGATCTCGACTTTTTGGGATCTTGATCCCAACTTTTTGGGGATCTTGCTGCCAACCTTAAAGTGTATAATAATCTAGGATTATGTATACCCTTGAATGTAGGGATCTCATTGTTAATAGCAAACGAGCAATATTTGTGTTAATAGTTGGCTATAAATAAAAAAAATCATCGGTTTGGTTGTTGTTTTGGTCTTTAAGGTTGGGTTTGAGGTCCCTAACAGCGGGATTCAGAATCCCTATCAGTGGGGTTCGAGATCCCAAAATTTAAAAATCGAGATCCCCAAGGTTTTAAAAAACGCTAGGCGGCCTGCTTGGTGCCGAGCGCCCAACACCTAAGCGGGCACCTTGCGGTGCAAATTCTTAGTTTGTTTTATATATTTGTTATCCAAATGCACATATATGCATATATTTGTGTCAAAATTTGTAATTTATTCCAAAATTTGAACCATACAAAACATTTAAAAGTCGAATAGGTAAGGTCTCCAACTCTCAAATTCAGAAATTCTCCATATTGGCATATTCCATATTCCATATTCCATAATTCATATCCATAAAATAAACCATAATAACATCCAAGATTCCAAGTCTCCAACTCTCCAAGTCATCAACAAACTGACTTCCAAAACTATAGAAAAACCAGTAAACCACACAACGAAATAGTCCAAAAAGGCAAAAAAATTACAAACCACATAACTAAATAAAAATCGTTCAAACTGCAAATGTTTAAAGCCCAAACCAAGATGGTGCAATAAAGTATTAAAGTTACTTCAAAAGAAGAGAGAAGACAATCAAGACTTCAATAAGAATCAGAATCATCATCTTCATTGCCTTCATCTTCATTAGAATTGCGGCCGTCATCATGAGAATCATCACCCTTTCCAACATATTCCTCTTCTTCCATAGATTCTTCTGAATCTGCCTCCTCTTCCTCTATCTCCCTCCGTGACGTACCAGCAGAAAAAGTTGCTCGAGTGGCCCTTCTAGGATCAGAAGCTTGCCCTGAAGCGTCCTCGACCTTTTCCCATGTCAAACCCTCCCCAGGGAAGACCTCACTACCAGGGTCACTAACTAGCCAATTTGAAGCATTCTCCATGTCTTTCGAAGAGATAGGGTCCTTCTTTGACTGGTTTTTCTTCTCCTTGAGCCTTTGATTCTCTCTAACAAAACCAAGTCATTGAACTTCCTTTGCTCAAGCCTATTTCTTCTCTTTGTATGCACCTATAAGGAAAAATAATTCATAAGTAACTACTATAGGTCTATGATCTTCTTACCTTTTATGAATCTATATTACAAAATGAATATGAACTTGTAAACAAAAAAAACATATAAAATTTTATTCCTTTAAAATAGTGAAATAGTAAAATACTATCTTAAACGAACTCCAATTGCGCTCACAACCAAAAGAGGTAGTTGTCAAACTCAAGATCCGCATAGCCATCTTCTGGAGGTTTGGAACGCTACTCCCATGTTGTCTCCACCATTGGGCTGCAATAGGTGGGCAACCTTTATAATTAATTTAGGTATTTAACGTTATCAGAACTTGAAAGAAAATTATAAATTTATATTTTATAAAACAAAAGTACATAAGTCAAAAGAATATTACCTGGTTCGTCTTTGTTTCTTTGCGGTAATGCCATATATTTCCCAAATGATATCAAAGAACACTTTTACGAAATTAGCTCTTCAATTGATATCTTATCTTGGATATTTGGATCAGGAACTAATTTCTCAAGGCACTTATAAAACCATCCATAATTACCCCTTTTGACTCAATATTTGCATCTGCATAAAAGAATTTGTGGTTCAAGTAGTACCCCGTTGCATGCAATGGTCTATGGAGCTGCCTATCCCATTTATCATCTATCATCTCCCAAATTGGGGCATACTTCGTTGCATCATCGCCCAAGTTCTCTACAATCTCATTCTTAGCCCTTTCCATTGCATCATATATAAAGCCCATGGAGGGCTTATCAGCATCAACCAAGCGCAAGACCTTCACCAAAGGAAGAAATACTAATATCGCATGCTTCAACCCACACCAAAAATATTTCGAAAGAATAATATTTCGTGTCTTCTTTCCCTTGGCATCTCTAAACCACTTACACCTACTCCACTCCTCTGAAGCAAACATAGACCTTAATGCGATCCTCCTCTTATACATGCTTTGTAGACTAAGGTAGGTAGTGGTAAATCCAGTGACCCCAAGCCTCACTAGCTCTCTCTTTGTTGTAAACTTGCGCATCATGCTAAGGATAAGTATGTGACTGTATATGAAGATTGTAACCTTGTTAGCCTTAAAAATAATTCCTTCAATAGGAGGCAATTCACCAATTGCCTCAGGCATAAGATCTACGTAATGTGCAACGTAAGGAGTCCAAATTTTTCGAGCCTCTTTTGTCAAAGCAAATGACTTGCAGCTAGATTGGGAGTAGCATTATATGTGACCACTTGAATTACTTGTTCCTCCCCAACCTCCTTAATACCCTTATCAATGAAAGAAAATATATGCTCATCATGAACATCATTGAAAGTATCGATTGAGCGCAAAAAAACTGTACGCGTAGGACAATTTACTAATAAATTCATGTTACTCCTCCTATCACTCCACTTGTCTGTCATCAAAGAAACCCCAAATTTAGCCCATCCCTCCTTATGAGTCTTGAGATATTCATTAGTGTACTCGACTTCTTTCTTCAGTAGTGGCTCTCCAATCTCATAAGGAGTTGAAGCTTTCAAACCTGGCCCAAATTGCCCAATTGCTTCCAATATTGTATAGAAGCTATTCAAACTAATAGTGTTAAAAGAAATACCCGTATGGTAAAACCACCGAGCAATATACTGAATCACCCTGACTCTATCTTTTTTATTAACTTATTTTCAATTGTCACCTATTTTTCCCCGTTTCCCTTGCCTTTCTCAATTACTTTCTCAGGGCTAGGTGTAAAGAAACTATCTATAGGCCCTCTCGTACGAGCCTCCTTAGACCCAAAAGCCCTCTTGGTCTTAGAGCTCTGAGTACCAACCATGGCTACCCTTTCTTCCCCCTCTCATCATCCTCTTCTTCAGTTTCAGTATTATCATAAAAATATGAACCCCTGACTTTAATTCTGCTATATCTTTTTTTTTTGCAACTTTTTTACTTTTTTCAGCTTCAATGTACTCCAAAATTTCTTTCTTTACAAGATCTGGGACTTTCTCACATGGGGCGACATCACCTCTAATACCGGCGAGATGTTTCTTAAATTTATATATGCCGGCATTAGAAACATGTCCATAGAAATTGCACACAATTTTATTTCTGTCATTCTTATCCGGGTTAACACAATATTTCCATTCTGGATCTCCACCCCTAGTAGACCTTGCAGAAGACATCTCAAATTGAAACTAAATCTCAAATAAAGATTACAGACTGACATTTTCTACCGAATCTCTGATCTTCGATGTTGGCTATCTCAGTCGAGCTACGAATCAACTTAAAAGTCTTCTAATACCACCAATAGCACCCTAAAAATAATTTCAATCAGGAAAACAAACTTTTTCAATCCACAAGGAGTATTTTCGATGCTCAGCAATTGCTTTAGATTCTCATAAATAAGTTTAAGATTGAGGGTTTCTTGTTTTTTTTTTCAGTTTGGGGTTGAAAATAAACCCCTTAACTTATTTTATACAAACTTGGGGGTCAAAATGACCCCCTTTGCCCTTTTGGGTGAAGTTAAAAAAAAAAAATCGTAAACTGTGCTCGGCGCCCGTCCAAAATTGGGCGCTGGGCACCCGCCTAGAACTGGGCGTTGGGCACCCTCCCAGGTATAGCCGCTCGTGTTGGGGCGCCCAGGTCCAGGCGTGCAGCAAATTTTTTTTGGGCGCCTAAGTGCCTGGCGGTCTGTTTTTTTAAACATTGGAGATCTCTGAAAGATCCATTCCGAAAACATTGGTGGAAGAGGCAATCTAGCTCCCCAACCCTCCTCAAAAAGTATGAGCCCGCTTAATAAACTTCTTATGGGGGCTTACGGGTTTTAGGATTATATCATTGATTTTTAATTGCTCTAATGGAAACTAATGGTTAATTGGGAATGGAGCAATTGGTAGTTAATTTATGGAATTGAGTGTAATTTTGTTGATTATTTCATAAAGATGGCTTCTTTTATTCTTCAATCGTGATTTTGAAATGATAATTGATGATAAAAAGGACTAGTCTCGATGGTATGTGGTACTAAATGTTCAAAGAACCCTCATAAATTAGGGCTAGTTGTAGGTTTTGGTGGGATGTGAGATTCGTTTTTGATTAATTATAAGAAAATTAAAAAATTTGGCTAAACTGCACAAAACATTATAAGAAATTTGACTATGGATCAGTGCAATATGTGGTTTCATATTACGCAACAAATAATGTGTGTGAAAAAGTAAAGAAATACTTTGTATGTTTTTTCATATTTAGTTCAAGTAATTGGGATATTATTGTTTGAAATAAATAGACTATAGTGTAAAACAAATATGTCCATGTTTGAAATAAATAGACTATAGCCAAGGTGCCCCCATAGGGGTCCTTTTGATCAATTTATTTTTTTATAAATTATTATTTTTAGATATTTTTATTAGGTGCACATACTTTTCAAGAGTAGATGATTTAAATTGCAAGGGATTTATATTT